CCCCAAAACCCCAAAACCCCAAAACCCCAAAACCCCTCTCATATGAATTATAATGAAATGGGATGTTTAATATTTATAGGTAAATTTTCATAAATATTAATGAGTGAATACAAACATAATGCTCCTTTTTAAGTCTAATTAGATTCAAATTTGTTAAAAAGAACATTGATGTGAATTAATAGATTTTGGGACTTTTTCATCATTTATTAATTCAATCTATATCATGCACTGACTTTTTTAATTCTTCTTCAGATTTTTTCTCTTCCTCTGGCTTTTATTCACCTTCTTTTTATTCTTTATCATGCTGGGCTAAGTTTAGGTTTTACTGTCCGTAGATAGCGTTTCTAACTAAATCCATAACCATTGGGACTAAGGCATTATTAAGAGTTTTTAGTATAAAATCTTTAGTTCCAATCATCCAGTCCTTGGTATTAGCTTCAATATATTCACTTGCTCCTTTTACCCATCTATCAATTCTAGATTCTTAAGAGTGAATCAGGTCCTCAATTAAGTTATCATAGACATACTCTGAGAACTATATTTAATATTAGCTTCTTTCATAATTGAATATAGGTAAGCAATAAATATGATATAAAACTAAACTATAAACTTACTCTAAAGTTTTCTACCAATAGTATTAGATAAATCAATGCAAGCACTGCGTCATATACCTCAATCCTAATATTTTAATTATCCTTCTTATTTTCATTCTTACATTATGAGGAATTAGCCAAAATAAAATTGAATAGTTTAAATGAAGCAATTGATAAGCCTATAATATTGTTAAAGAATAATTATCAGCAAATAGCTTACCAGAATTTTAAGACTTTGACTTTATTTTGAGGTTCCTCCTTTTTCCTGTAAATTCTCACAGATCTGTAAATTGGATACAGAAAAGATAAAAATAGCCTAACAAAAGCACCATTAAGAGATCATTTCTTTATTTTATAAATTAGCTTACACAGATATGTGAACTAGTGTCTGAAGCAGAAAAATATACATCATTTTCTAAGTTTTGAAGTTTTAAAAGTCTACTGTGATAAATTAACTCTCCCTTTTTCTTATATTATAAATTATCTAAATTCTTCATAATTTAGTGTGCTGGGGTTTTGGGGTTTTGGGGTTTTGGGG